TCATTTACGATGTATATTATAATGCTTACATATGACAATTAAAATTTCATTATTGCATTACTATATATATATTACATTACTATACTGTGTATTTTAGTTTCAATTATAATATAACATGACACATATATATTTTATTATTCATTAATATTTCTACTCGATTTTATAAGTTGATTGTCACGTAACAATTATTGCATTACATAATTTGAGATATATTTTTGTACAATATAGTGTATAATTTTAAATGTTAAACACTCTTTTCGTTTATGTTATAATATATTAATATTAGTATTAATATAATAATATATTAATACTAGTATTAATATAATAATATATCTCAATATTAGTATTAATATAATAATATATTAATACTAGTATTAATATAATAATATATCTCAATATTAGTATTAATATAATAATATATTAATACTAGTATTAATATAATAATATATCTCAATATTAGTATTAATATAATAATATATTAATACTAGTATTAATATAATAATATATCTCAATATTAGTATTAATATAATAATATATTAATACTAGTATTAATATAATAATATATCTCAATATTAGTATTAATATAATAATATATTAATACTAGTATTAATATAATAATATATCTCAATATTAGTATTAATATAATAATATATTAATACTAGTATTAATATAATAATATATCTCAATATTAGTATTAATATAATAATATATTAATACTAGTATTAATATAATAATATATCTCAATATTAGTATTAATATAATAATATATTAATACTAGTATTAATATAATAATATATCTCAATATTAGTATTAATATAATAATATATTAATACTAGTATTAATATAATAATATATCTCAATATTAGTATTAATATAATAATATATTAATACTAGTATTAATATAATAATATATCTCAATATTAGTATTAATATAATAATATATTAATACTAGTATTAATATAATAATATATCTCAATATTAGTATTAATATAATAATATATTAATACTAGTATTAATATAATAATATATCTCAATATTAGTATTAATATAATAATATATTAATACTAGTATTAATATAATAATATATCTCAATATTAGTATTAATATAATAATATATTAATACTAGTATTAATATAATAATATATCTCAATATTAGTATTAATATAATAATATATTAATACTAGTATTAATATAATAATATATCTCAATATTAGTATTAATATAATAATATATTAATACTAGTATTAATATAATAATATATCTCAATATTAGTATTAATATAATAATATATTAATACTAGTATTAATATAATAATATATCTCAATATTAGTATTAATATAATAATATATTAATACTAGTATTAATATAATAATATATCTCAATATTAGTATTAATATAATAATATATTAATACTAGTATTAATATAATAATATATCTCAATATTAGTATTAATATAATAATATATTAATATAACATTATTTTCTTTATATTTGTTTACTTTGTCTTGTTTACTCAGCTTCTTAAAAATCTAATATCTTATTCGTTTGAAATACGTTTGATTTTGCAATTGATTTTGCACGAACAACATGCAAACTACAATTGACTGTTACGTTAAAATTAATAAAATTCGTTATAGTTTAGATTAGTAGAAATAATTTTCACAAGACGAACAAATGAAGTAAAATTACATATTTACTTATATTTATTTATAAAAGTTGGTTGTATTTTTGGAGAACATATAGTTCGTCGACCGTCACCGGCAACGTCGGCTATCGAGAAACAATATGGCGGCACGTGCAAGGGACAAAGTATGCGTGCCTGTAAGCATGGGGCTGTAGGCTCTTGCTGATAACAAGTATAATACGCTATAAAGGGGGGGCGTTAGGTCACGATCAGTGTGACACTCTGTCTTAACCATTGTTGCTTTGTCTATTAGCTGCCCCGGACCAAGTGTCCAGATACCGATTAATGCTGATCTATTAATTGTAGGTGAGGTCAGTCGCGATCGAGACGACCCTAACGGTGAGTTTCGAACGAACCTAATTCGCCTATCCTACATCACACTCTCTAATCAATGTTGCACCGTACGACGATCTTAATGACTCATCCGAGTGACCAGAAATTGAGTTTTATTTAAATTGAGATCACTTTGACGTTAATTTTTCACTGATTAACAATCAGTCACAATTGTTTACACTGAACATGGAAATATTTTTCGAAACTGTCGATTCAATCGAAAAATCATTTTAGATGAAACTTTTATAATTTCGAACAGGGCATCGTACGATATAAGTGGCCATTCTGTAAGTGGACACAGAGGACATTTGAAGGTCAAGCTTTTCTTTTTTAACGGAAACGTATGTTTTTGAGACTACTGGTCGATGCAGCTTGCAATTACGTATGAAAAAGTACCGAGCCATTTATGATTAAAAATCATTTGTTCACGAGATATTTTGATTTTACTAAGAAGGCTGGCGCCATTTTGAAATTGGAATAACTATTGAATCAATGATTTTTAGTCACAAATGGTTTAATGCGTTTTCGTATAGAATCGTACACAATAGCGATCAGTATCTCCAAAAATATGTATCCTCATTTTTAAAAAAATACTTGACCTTCAAATGATCTCCGAATCGTGCATCCTTCGAAATTGTTTCACGTTGATTTAAATTATTTTTCAATGGAATCAACAGTTTTGGGAATGACAAATGTTTGCTTTAGAAGAGGCAGCTCCGGTGACCTTGAACCTGTTACATGTTGTCAAGGTCACCCTTTTGAGTAACTTCTAAATGGGTTTTGTTGTTCCTCGTCTAACAGAATTTAACAAGTATTGTAATGTTTCATTAATATTGACTGAAGAATTTATTTAAGACATCGATGCATGTGAAAGTCAAGGTCACTGCATCTGTCTTCTCCAAAGTAAATAATTACCTGGCGAAATTTTAGCCCCTATCTCAACTGACCCACCCTGTATATTTACTCATGTTTACAAGCACGAATATGTTATGTTATCTCGACTGTACCACTTGTTTTTAATTTAAAAAGAAAACAATATAAGAAAATATTGTTTGATCCCAAGAAACAAATATTAAGGACAAACGAGAAAATGTTCTCAAGGTTACGTCTATCTGAAAATTTCGAGGTCACCGATATGTTTTGTTTTCGTAATCGTGGTTGAATAATCGAACTCGAGACGAGTTGGAACAACACCTAACCCTCAACACTCGATGACCTTTAAATTTCGAGAACTGCGACCTTGTGAGAAGTTTCTTGCTTGCCGTAATATTTACTGTTTCCAAACGAACGATATCTTCCTTTGATGTTTGTTTTGTTTCGTTAAGGAGCAAGGAGAGATTCAAGGTCACGAAGAGTGATGGTGTTCACGTCGTATCGGTCTGAATGAATGTTTTGTTGTGTTACAGCTATGAGGAACCATCGAAATTCCGTCGGGATGACCATGATGAACTCGACGAAGCAGGTAAACAAGGTGAAACCGAACGTGAACCGAGCGCCGAACGATTCCCTGACAAGTCCGAGTCAACCGTACAATCAAAGGTACTTGATCACTCTAAATCTATATAAGCTACGATTTCATGTCCATGAGTTCAAGTGTGCGTAATTCACGAAAGAGAGAGAAACACGATTAATTGTGCGGAAATAATGTTGCATAAAAGTTGGTGCAGCTGAGGCTCATTTTGCGTGTAGATCTCACCGCATAAGTTACTTAACACTTAACTGGCCGTCACGTGTGCCTACAGTCGGTCACAAAAGTCTGCATGCTAGTCAAACATTGAACAGTTCTTGCATTTGTATACTAAACCATATGTATATGTGATCAGTAATGATTTTACTTTTTTTTAATGATTTTGATAAATATTTACAAAGGTGATCCATTTCCGATGAACTTGAGGAAGGTGATTCTTCAGGTGATTTGGAGTAACTTTCTCCTTAGCGAAAAAGTTCCCCGTGCCTTCGTTTACGAGTTATCAATGAAAAACACGGACCAATCAGAGATCCAGTACGGTCGGTGCTCCGCCCTCGCGAGTGTAAGGGCGTCGCCGCATCGACTGCGCCGTGTTTTTCGTTAATAACTCGTTAACGAAGCTCTAACCAACATTTTCGCAGAGGAAAAAGTTGTTCAAAATATCGAGCTATACAACGTAATTAAATTTCATCAAGATCAGCATAGTTTAAGGTCACGGGAGTTGGATCCCCTTTTGTCCATATTTATCATGATTTTCGAAATGGTTGAAATGAAATTGTTCGTTTTCCGTAGATCCAATTCAGAATAAAAATTAGTTCAGCAGTCGTTTCGATTTCAAAATGCTGTAATTCTTTAATATCGAGGGTATCAAAAAATGAACAATTCGATTTTAGAAAACGCAATTGATCTTCATGTATACACCCTCTGTACATTCACCTATGAGAAAATGCCTCTGTCGAGTAATGCATTCCTTGAAACTGTTCAAAATCGATTTGAAACGTAATAATTGATTTTTGAATGTAAACTTTTGTGACTTACTGTACGTATCATACATGTTCACGCGTCATTGGTGAAACCAGTAATTGCCCATCGCTTTCGTCGAACGTCCAGTCAATAATTCACTAATTATGATCCTCAGGTCTGTGATGGAAAAATTGAAATTAAAAAATTTCGTCCTCCAAAATTCTTTGCATAGAAAGATTCTGTAGCTAGTCACAAATACAACGATACACATATACTTTTCTAATATTAATCATAAGACCTGACCATCGCCATACCACATAATGTACATGGTTAAGTGTTAAAGTATAATACGTTTCATGTTTCAAAAACACTAATCGTGCATTCAAACATTTATAGAGAATAATTTTCGGAAATGTAACGATACACAAATTCGATTGTTTGAATCTATAATACAGTAGAGCTCCTTTTATCCGAATTTCTATTATGATAAAGCAGTTTATTTTTAATATGACGTAGAATAATATGAAATTACAACAATAACAAATGATGAAATCAGTGGAGAAGTATACTAATATATATAGCATACACTACAATTCAAAACATAATTATCTTTTATTATCATGTGCTAAAAAATTAGAAACAATGTTTGAGATAACATAGTATATGCATAAATAATTTATAATATAGTACATTTTGAGAACTCGTGCGATTTTGGATTTTTCTTATAAAAATACAGACCGCTGAAATTTGTTATTCGTGTCTAGTTTTACAAAGCAGTGTACACAAACAAAGTTGCACTTATAAAATTTTATCTCGCAAACCATCTGTCAAATTCAATTGATCATTTTTTTGTTTCAATCGTGAATGTTCCATCCGCGTTAACAATATTTTTTAACATCGAAAAATTATAAAAAAATACTTACTTCTTGCCACATCACAAAAAGTTCATCTCAAATCTATGTCTAATTGTGAACAAGGTTTTCATTATTATTTATTAAATATTACGAGACTAATTTTGCATTGTAAAAAAATATATGTTTATAGGTCAACCCCTTTCAATTCCAAGTAAAAAACCTCAACTGAATCGGGTAGTTTTCAAGATAAAAGTTCGTAATTGCAGTCTTGTTCATCACTTTTATTTCATGACACAAATATAAATAAATCTGGAATCAACAAGATCACGACTTGAACTCTCCGTCCTAATTTTCCACATACTATCTTGCACAACAATTGAGTTTTAATCAAAATCACTGACATTGACTACGAAAATGCAATTAATTCTTTTTTTATTTTTTCAACACTTTTCATTCAGTCATTTAATACAATCATATACAAGACAACGTTATTGTTTAAAAATATTTTGAAAATATTTTGAAAATATCTCATCAATTTGGATAATCGAGGTTCTACTGTACAGATAGTTGCACAACGAGTCTTGAAAAGTTCCTCGACTTTCTGTCACTCTTCTCTGTTTCCGATCTAATTATGATACTTGTCTGCCATAGCTGCACGATTAGAACTATCCAAAGCCTTGATTACACAATGGTACTCTCGTAAGCTGCACAAGAAACTGTAGGTTATTCAGACTGCAAGAGATATCTAACTTCTAGTGAGTTATCGTTCTACGAATTATCGGAAGCTATTTTACACGAAACTTCTGCATCGTGTACTTTTGAATAACTTCATAGATATCTTCACAGAATTCACGTCTACCGATCTCTGCTACGGGCTATACAAACTTTTAATGAAGAACCTCCGATCGAACAAGTTTTGTACGTTGTCGAATGCACTGAAGTTTACTTCATAGATTCTCCTCTGACGATCTGTTTTAATGAGCATGTTACTTTCATTTTACTTATAGTGGCGGATGAGAGTCGAGGATATCGAAAGTAGAAGCTTAAATCTTTAAAATAAACCTAAGTAGATCATCATGCGATTCTTTTTTGACAAAGGTATAATAAATTAAACATCGATAATCTTTTATCAAGAATTTGGTGGTGCAATGGTTTGAATTGTGTCTCGTACAGTATTCAATTTTTCAGTGAAAAATAATTATTAAAGAAAACCTCATTTAGCGCTGCTGGAAGTAGAGATTTCAAACTTTAAAATGAACGTAAATAGATCGCCGTACGATTTATTTTGACAAAGGTATAACAAACTAAACATCGACAATCTATTATCAAGAATTTGGTGATTCAGTGATTCGAATTGATATTGTGTCGTACAGTATTCAATTCTTCAGTAAAAAGCAATTATTAAACAAAACTTCATTTAGGACAATTGGAAGTGGAGATCTCAAATTTTAAATAGAGTGTCAGTAGATTGTTGTACGATTTTTTTTTACGAAGTAACAATAAGTTAAACATTAACAATTTTTCGTTAAGAATTTAGCGGCGCTGTAATTTCAATTCTTAGTATGTGGCACAATATTCAATTTTTCAATGGAGAACAATTTTTGAAAAAAAGCCAATGTAGGTATGTTGAAAGTGGAGATTTCGACCTTTAAAATGAGCCTAAGTAGATTGTTGTATGTGTAAGTATACGTATTATTTTTACGAAGTAACAACAAGGTAAACGTTAATAATCTTTCATCAAAAAAGTGGCGCTGTAATTTTAATTGCTAGTATGCCATACAATATTCAATTTTTCAATGCAGAACAATTTTTGAAAAAAGAGAACTAATTTAGGGATGTTAAAAGTAGAGATTTCAACCTTCAAAATAAGCCAAAATAGATTGACGTACGATTTCTATTTGCAAAACGATAACAAGTTAATCGTTAACAATCTTTACACATGATTTATAGTTTATTTTCATTTCTCTCTTTTCATGGATGCACTTGATCGCCTGCAATATACTCTGCTTTGTTTTCTGCACTGTCAACAAAATTGTGAATTTCCTCAAAATATGTGGAAACATGTTCACTGAAATCCCATAACAGTCACTGTTGTAGTTTTGTAATAAAAAATGTTCAAAAGCAACCTAAAATATGAAAGAAATACATCCGGATTAATCGTCATATTTCTGGTGTTCTTTTCACACCGATTGTTTTTTAAACATTCTTGTGTTCTAACACTCTAACGTTAAATTGCACCATCTTATTCAGGAAAGTACACAGAATAGTACTACGTAAATTACAGCTGTGTAACTATCACCATTAAAGCACAAAATGTTACAAAAATTGAGAATGTACGTCGTCGAAATTAATGATCTTAAAAAGTACCCAAAACAATTAAAAACGATTACAGATTCACATTTAGTATGCAGATTCACATTTAGTCTATCACAGTATAGAAATACTTTCGTTCGCCACAGTATACGAACCGTTCAACTCAAAGTTTTCATTCGAGAACTTCCATGCGATCCAGAATCATTTCTATGATAATCGGACTTGATTTTTACATAATTCATTTTTAGTACAGTCATTACCGTTCACACCGTCGTGAAACCGATCATTCTAATTATCGTACAAAGTTTGGACACTGTATCTCAACCGGAAGCATAGTCACAAACAAAAATCATACAAGCGTTTCCAATTTTTTAACTACGATACAACCCTCTAAAAAGATCCGAAATATTTGGGAACAGTTGCTATAATACGTGGTGTCCCAGAACTCTCGTTAAACCTGGCAGGAGACGATTCCTCAAGTCATTCGGAGAAACTTTTTCCTCAGTGAAAATGTTCTACGCGACTTTGTTAACGAGTTATTAACGAAAAACGCGGACCAATCACAGAGCGAGTACAGTTGGCGTTTCGCTCTCGAGACAGTGGCCGCGGTGTGGCATTGGCCGCGGGGCGGTACATTAGCCGTGCTTGCTCTCTGATTGGTCCGCGTTTTTCGTTAATATCTCGTTAACGAAACCGTCTACGATATTTTCGCTCAGGAAAATGTTGTTTTAAATCACTTGAGGAATCATTGTCTTCCAGATGTGACGGAAGTTCTGGTACACTCCGTGTACTATAGTCGGTCTCATTACTTTTTAATTACCACGTACGTTCACCACAGAAATTTCGACATGAACCAATGAAGCCCAATGGTCCGTGCGAATATAAATCCAACGTTGCAAAATCCTTCTGATTCCAGATCGCAAGAGGAGTCCGCATACCCTGGCTACCATCTCGCCTACGAAGTCAAAAAACTCATGTATGCTTCTTTCGTTAACACTGTCTTACGTTGTACGGGTGTTCATTCTGGAAAATGAATTGCCGAGGCACGCTTGCTAGAAAATTGCATGCGTATAGATATGCTCCGCCATTGTTCTCGATAACCGTTTCACCTTGGAATTAACCTTCAGGTGTGCCAATCATTAGTCCGCAGATCTTTGGTATATATTTGAATATTTTTACTAATTAAAGTAATTTATTAGTTTAATAATGTTCGGGAATAACTTTGTTTGCATAAAAATACATATTTTTTTTGCATAAAAATACACGTAACTTGTATAATTGAATACAAATCTGCAGTATTTGTATAAATTTTATACAAATTTATCGAACCTGTATAAATTTAGCACAAATTTATAGAACCTGTATAAATTTAGCACAAATTTATAGAACTTGTGAAAAAATACTAATTTATGGGATTTGTATAAAAATACTAATTTATGGGATTTGTATAAAAATACAAATCTATACAACACTTGTATTTTAATGCGAATCTATAGAATTCGTATAAATCTATAAAACTATATAAATTTTATAAATTTTATAGAAATTTTCTGGGACTTGTATAACTTTAATACAAAATAGGATTTTGAAACAGCTTTAGTGTATGGTTTAAACGACAGTGGATTAATTAATTAGACACCTGATTTCTGTAATTATTCACAGCTTAGCACGTTTTATTACCTTTCTCTGCATGGAGAGCTTTGAGAGTAAGAATGTGTGGTATATTCGTTTAAATAATATTAGCAAAAGTGTAGTAGAAAATACTATCAAGAATCTGACAAAATGGAGGGTTGTTTTCACAAGTGTTTACTGTCTAATATGAATTACTTGCGATGAACAGTAAACAAAGAATGACGTTTTTATGTAAAACATTGCAGGAACATTTTGAGGTTTTATTATAGTGCTGAATGTACTAAAAACCTGCTGTATCTTTGTATTAGAACTAGTTTGTAACATAGTCCTCATTTTGTAGAGTTTTTCTTATTGTATTTCTGAATTCTATGTATGTAACAGGTAAATACGTTTCATATGAATAGAGTGTAAACAATATATGATGCTGGAAATGTTTATTAATAAAATGATTTGTAATAAATTTATTAGAAACTTATTACAAGAGAGTTGTACAGCTTTGTAATAAATATTTGCTTTAATTAGTTTTAGACAATTAATAAGCAATTAATAATGAAAGATTGAAGGAATATTGTAGTTAATATTTCAGTTATAATAAATTAATAGATGTTTCCAGTAAGGTTTCCATATGTGCAGGGTGTCCCAAAAATGTCTCGCAATCAGGAAATGGGGGTTCCTGAGGTCATTTGAAGAAACTTTTTCCGAAAGTTGTCCTTTTTGCGAAAATGCAATCCGCGGCTTAATTTGCGAGGTATTAACGAAATACACTGACCAATGAGAGGCGAGCTCGGCAGGCGCGGGCGGTACAGCCAACGAGCGCCTGAAGCCCAGTTTCGCTCGTTGCCACGCTCGCTTCTCATTGGTCACTGTTTTTCGTTCATAACTCGTAAACGTAGCTGCGGATTGCATTTTCGCTGAGGAAAAAGTTACTTCAAATGACCTCTGGAACCCCCATTTCCAGATTACGAAACATTTTTGGGACATCCGGTATGCAGGGACATTCCATTGAGACTTAACATGAAGGTCGCGCCAAAATATTGAATGATTTCTCAAACATAATATTTCATATTGATGATTTCCATATTTTCATTTCCACAAAAACTGTAGTTTTCATATCTCTATTATGTTAACCCATTTGTTCGATTTCCATATCTACTATTCTCCGTATTTNAATTTTATAGAAATTTTCTGGGACTTGTATAACTTTAATACAAAATAGGATTTTGAAACAGCTTTAGTGTATGGTTTAAACGACAGTGGATTAATTAATTAGACACCTGATTTCTGTAATTATTCACAGCTTAGCACGTTTTATTACCTTTCTCTGCATGGAGAGCTTTGAGAGTAAGAATGTGTGGTATATTCGTTTAAATAATATTAGCAAAAGTGTAGTAGAAAATACTATCAAGAATCTGACAAAATGGAGGGTTGTTTTCACAAGTGTTTACTGTCTAATATGAATTACTTGCGATGAACAGTAAACAAAGAATGACGTTTTTATGTAAAACATTGCAGGAACATTTTGAGGTTTTATTATAGTGCTGAATGTACTAAAAACCTGCTGTATCTTTGTATTAGAACTAGTTTGTAACATAGTCCTCATTTTGTAGAGTTTTTCTTATTGTATTTCTGAATTCTATGTATGTAACAGGTAAATACGTTTCATATGAATAGAGTGTAAACAATATATGATGCTGGAAATGTTTATTAATAAAATGATTTGTAATAAATTTATTAGAAACTTATTACAAGAGAGTTGTACAGCTTTGTAATAAATATTTGCTTTAATTAGTTTTAGACAATTAATAAGCAATTAATAATGAAAGATTGAAGGAATATTGTAGTTAATATTTCAGTTATAATAAATTAATAGATGTTTCCAGTAAGGTTTCCATATGTGCAGGGTGTCCCAAAAATGTCTCGCAATCAGGAAATGGGGGTTCCTGAGGTCATTTGAAGAAACTTTTTCCGAAAGTTGTCCTTTTTGCGAAAATGCAATCCGCGGCTTAATTTGCGAGGTATTAACGAAATACACTGACCAATGAGAGGCGAGCTCGGCAGGCGCGGGCGGTACAGCCAACGAGCGCCTGAAGCCCAGTTTCGCTCGTTGCCACGCTCGCTTCTCATTGGTCACTGTTTTTCGTTCATAACTCGTAAACGTAGTCGCGGATTGCATTTTCGCTGAGGAAAAAGTTACTTCAAATGACCTCTGGAACCCCCATTTCCAGATTACGAAACATTTTTGGGACATCCGGTATGCAGGGACATTCCATTGAGACTTAACATGAAGGTCGCGCCAAAATATTGAATGATTTCTCAAACATAATATTTCATATTGATGATTTCCATATTTTCATTTCCACAAAAACTGTAGTTTTCATATCTCTATTATGTTAACCCATTTGTTCGATTTCCATATCTACTATTCTCCGTATTTTCATTTCCTTTTGCAAACGTAGAGACACCGACGTATCACAGCGTGATCTTCACATGACCACGATTAGAGATTTCAGTAATGATTTACAACTAGTACAAAAAAAAGTAGCGTAAAGAAGCTGAGTGTTAGTTGATGACTTGGCGCGTATTGAATGCGAGAAATAATGATCGAAAATATTGCATTTTTTATACAAACGCTACACAGAAACATGTGACTTCAAAATCGATATACAGCCTATACAATAAAATCATTATAATTTCCAAAATGATAAAGATAAAAATTCGAAGAAAATCTCACTTACAGTGTTACCATGTCACTACGCCTGCGATTTTTTTCAAAATTTTGGCACAACTGGTTTTGAAATTATGCACACGATTACGATCTCCAAGTCGGTCATTCAATATGCATCCAGCTAATATCCTCGATGTTGAGTGTTGGAATATGATGCATCGAGCCACGACGTATTTAGCGTTGCCGATGTGAAGACCGTGGTACTGGTTTCAGGCCGACGAGCAGAGCATCAGGGGGCACGAACGTGAACAACAACGGCGGCCTGCAAGTCGGCATTGCCGACGACCAGGCGAAGGACTTCGACTTCGAGAAAACCGAAATGAAATACGACTCGACGGGCATGTTCCACTGGAGCCCGTCCCGCAACCTCGAAGACTGTATACTGGATCGGAACCAGGCAGCCATGACGGTCCTGAACGGGCACGTCGTCGTCTGCCTATTCGCCGATCCCGACTCGCCCCTCATCGGACTGAGAAACCTTGTCATGCCATTACGAGCTTCCAATTTCCATTACCACGAGCTTAAACACGTAGTGATAGTTGGGTCTGTGGACTACATCCGCCGCGAGTGGAAAATGTTGCAGAATCTACCAAAGATATCAGTGCTAAACGTAAACAACGTTTTTACATTCAGTCGCCTCTAAGCGCCTTCACTGCCGCTACAAAGTCTACTTGAACTGGAATCTTTCCTATCACGTTGCTCAAAATTCGCCGTTTTCCATTCACCATTTTCGTTTCTTTCGGTGAAAGTCGACAGGTATCAATGGACTGCAAATGATCCTATAGATTCTGAACAATGTATTATATTGTATTAAATCTCGACGACCTTAAGATGTTTTGTCAAGGTCGACGCTCTGAATAACTGCAAAATTATGCGACTTCAAGGGATGGAAATAATATTTTGGAATATTTACTGGAAATAATATTTTCTCTAAGGTTTTTTTTTTGATCTTCAAGATCGTCGGTATTTTTTTTTAAACAAAGTTATATGTTTAAGTAGATAGTAGATTATAGAGTGTGAACGGACGAATCCAACGACCTAAAAAACTATGCGTTATGATCATTTAATCGTAAGATACTTGTGTCTGAATGGTAAGTCATTTAATTCTTTCAGACATAAGTATCTTGGGTTTGAGTAATCAGAATGGTATAGTTATTGAGATCCTTCGATTCGTTCTTTCATGGTCTGCAATGGGATCGAAGGAAAGGTACAAGGGTCCATTTGAGAAGGTAGTAAAGCTCTTAAAATCTTTTAAAATGGTGGCTTTGAGGGAAAATTTTTCTCCACTAATGTTTCTAACACTTGAAATAGTGTAATTTCGTCTTTATAGGTATTTTCATGAAATAATAAATAAAATAAATATTTAGGTGATTCGCATGACCTTGAGGAAACCTTTAATAAGTCATTAAAATCAATCTGATGGATCTATTTATGATAGATTTATTTCGATCAATCGTTGTCAAACTTCAAATCCAAAGGTCAGTTTTTCTTGTGATAAAAACATACTTTAAAATTCAAGAACACACCTATACGATTCAGAAGCACCTATGTCTCACGTAATCGTAAACAATGAGGAGTTAAACGCTATTATAGTTTATGTTTAATTGCTTTTCTCATGAATGAAACAAGATCTGCAGTCCAATGATCATCTGTATCCTTATCTTTGTCACTTCTTGAGATTGAGAGAATTTTGCTCAGGATATTGTAAAGTATCAAGACCGTTATTTTTATTAAAGTTAGTAGACAGGTGTCCTATGAAGAACTTTCAGAGTCCTAAATTCATCTAGACCCTTAAGGTCCTTTGTAACTTCCTGCTGTTTAAGATGTTAACTTAATTGTCACGTGAAAACCCATTTTTCTCAGTGAGACAACAAATGCTGTTGATTCTCATTCGAACCTGCTTCTTTGGGGACACAGAAGCTAGGATCTTGATTCTTGTTCAGGTTAATCTCTATTAAGATCATTCCAACTATATTGTTCTTCACATTAGACAGAGTTTTAAACGTAAAACAGATTCGGACAAAGTTTTCTTTTATCTAATGTCTCAAACAATTTGGTGCAGATTTTAATGTAAATTCCTATTTGTGTTCTCTGCACTGCAGTCTTATATAGTTGGCTAGCCGATTGTTCCAGTTAGACAGAGGGCGTGGATATCACTGATATTTAGGGGAATCTCATATCATGGTGTCTAGTATCCTAAACCGACTTGTGGACACCATGCACATAAGTTTGATCTTTGAACCATTATAAATTGCTAAAACACACTTGGACAGTTATGGTCAATATTATTTTCAAATTATTAAGTCACAATGGAAGCGTAAAACATTTTTAATAAACACCACCAATATTAGTGTGGTGTGCACAAGTCCATCAACATTGGAAAATCTTATAAACAAAATATACAAAGCACCCATTACAAAAAAAAACACAAAAAATTATGTTTTTTGTGCTACTGTTGCCACGTTATGGTCCCTCGATATTTTACAATTTTTATGAGCACAGTTGTCTCATATTGTTCAAAGTACAAAGATTCTTGTCTCACCCAGTCTGTCTGCTTTCACTGAAACAAATCACAGTGTCATCAAAGAATAGCGATTCTTAAGATGAAACCAATTCCATTTGATTCTAAGAACAGCTATTCAATGACTAACGAATTGAAAATGTAAACACATTCGAATCGGAAATCGAAAGAGCTTTCCTTTCATAACGCTCTTTGAGAAGTTACACGAGTATTACACAGAATATTTTCCTGAAATATTGGAAACCAAAGTTGAAAATGATTCATAATCGTTTGGCGTAATGTCTAAACGGTAGGAGTAACATTCATTCCCCTCTCGATTAAAATTTAGAGAAAAGTGTACTATAATCGTGCTTCTGTGTTCTAGGATTGCAACAAGATTCGCCAGATGTTCTATGAATCGTTGTCCAAAACTTAATATCACGTAAAATCGTGAACAAGGAAATTCGTTTGGTAGTTTAGTATGTGCAAGCATGAATAAAATTGAACTTGTAGCAATCTTATATCGGAAGTACAAAGTGCTTCAAATATAAAAAACTGTCTTTTTCCTAGACTTAGTATTTCACAACTCCAGTAGATCAGGAATTAATTCCAGTTGTACTTCTCCCTAGACGGCCTGTGTATATAATCTACAACATTCTGCCCTCTTCTCCTGCATATAGGGTGTCATCAAACTGGCGATGCAAGGAAACGTTGATTGAAAATGTGGAACACAACGTCGAGCATTATCGTTCGATCGAAATGCAAATTGATCTTTTGGCTGAAATTCAAATTAATTTTTTGGCTGAAATCTTTTTGTACAATTTCTTAAATGCTTACGTTAATTTGTAACAGACGATTACATTTATTGCTTCTCCAGGAAATATCAACTTTGTGTGTTGCAAGCAATCGCATTCTTTAGTCGAGAATTTTCTTAAATAGTCTTAGCTTTTGCAGAAATTCTTTCTTTCGAATAATTTGGTATTATTCGCTCTAATAATTTCACCAAAATAATTACACAATTTCGATAAGCATATTGTAGCAAGTATCGCATTTTTTGTTTCAGTATGATTAACTGCTTCTTAACGTAGAAATAGAAGCAATTTCATTCACGAGTGTAGCAAAAATCTTCTACATTTTCAATTATCCTCACATAAAATAATCGGATCGACAGCAGATGATGATTCTATTTTACAAGAGAAACTAGAGAATCCTCCCCTACCGTGTAGCCTCCTTTCCAATCATCATTTGCACTTGATCAGATAACAATATTTCTCAAATTGTACCTCTAAATTGGTGACATCCTGTTCTGGGTGTTCTGTTCAACTGGAACTCACGAAATATTTTGTACACCGATTAAAACTATCAAAGAACAGTTATCACAAGTTGCTTGTTGTATAGACAGATATTGCCTGGTCCGAAGAATGTTTTGCACTGAAAGTTTGAAGGACGTTTCAAGATCAACTTAATTTGTATCCATCAATTATGTGAATATATATAATAAATATATAATATAATAAATATAATCAATAATAAATCAATCAATTATGTGAATATATATATCACATAATTGATTGATTTATTATTGATTATATTTATTATATTATTTATTATATTTATAATTTAAAACTATGTACAACCTTGTGACCTACATGTGACCTTGATTGAGCATATATTAAGCATATACTGACCTCGAAGTGTCTATAATTTCGTGCAAAATAATATAATCTTGCAGTACACTGTGTAACTCGCGAAATCAAGCAACTTCTCCGACGACATTTCTATTGATATCATCAATGGTTTACAATGCAATGTGATCTTCAGTTGAACAGAACGCCCGGTGCACTTAGCGCCCCCACGAAAAACAGAGAGCCATAAGGACCACAGCCTGCATTGTGAATGACGCATGATTCTTACAGGGTTCACCATTAAGCAGAGCAGATTTACGCGCCGTGAACGTGAATCTGTGCGATATGTGTTGCATCCTGTCGGCTAAAGTGCCTAGCAATGATGACCCCACCCTCGCCGACAAGGAGGCTATCCTCGCGTCCCTTAATATCAAGGCCATGACCTTTGACGATACGATTGGAGTACTCAGCCAAGGTATGCGCAGCGTTCCACCGCTCTTCGTGGAGAGGATATAGTGCAGCGATCAAAGTACAGATCGACGCATGCATTGACAACATACTTCGTCATTTGCCATCTACACAACACCGACAATCCCCGGTTGCGATACTCCCGTTCAGAAGAGAACTGTACACCAATATTGTCGTTGTGCACCGACAACTGCAATCATTTCTCCCTAATTCGCGCTCAGATTGCGCACAAAAGTGGACAATATGGGAAGAGGAGATACGATTATTCGAGCATTGCGTCTCATATTTATAATTACAGATAATATAGTAATCGATTATATAATATTATATTATATATATTTATTCTTATATAATAATATATATAATATTATAATAATAAAATAAAAAATAAATATATATATTATAATATTATATAATATATATTATACTATATTATAATATTATATAATATATATTATACTATATAATAATATATATAATATATATAATATTATATATTATTATATTATGTATATAATTTCGGTAATATTATATATTATATAAATAATTATGTTTATTATTATATATTTAATAATCGTATCTCCTCTTCCCAAATTGTCCATTGTTGTGCGCAATCTGAACGCGAATTAGGGAGAAATGACTGTATTATCGGATACCTATAAATTACGTTCTTTTTCACAAAATTTAGTAATTGCTTGCAAAAAGCTCTCCTCCTCCAATTTTCATTAAATCGGACGACGTTCGTACAGTTGGTCAATTTTACCAAAAATTTTATGTTATTTAACATTCGGCGTCAACAACTGCGATTAACGTAACAGTAACAATAAATTATATTCTGGAACAGGTCGACAATGTATATCCGATCGGAATGAAAATAATCAATAGCTATAGGTATCCCCACCGTAATTAGAAACCACGAAACACTTACAACGTAGTTAGCACTGTCCCTACAAGTTACACTACATCTTGTCCGCAAAGAGTGACCGCCACGAACACCAGGTTTCGGTTCGGTCACGCGATCCCGACTTCCTCCCACATGTAATTTAATGTTAAGTGGCAATTGCAGCAAATAATGAGCAAGGTAATTTAACCGCAGTTGGCAGCCCGATCGTTTTACAGCGACGAGGATCCGTTTATGGAGCTAACGTGCCAATGATAACAGGTATCAATGTTTGATTCGACGCGGAGGTGTGAACAGCGTTGATATGCTTCGAAACGCAATCTTTCTTCTCTAGAACTTGTAAATGACAGCAACGTGCAGTTCCTTGACCAGGACGACGACGACGATCCGGACACGGAACTCTACCTCACCCAACCCTTCGCCTGCGGTACTGCCTTTGCCGTCAGTGTATTAGACTCGTTAATGTCAACGGTTGGTAATTAAATATCGGTGTCGATCCTTAATTAGTGAGGTGGCTATACGACAAGTATACCGGGTGTCCTAAAACTGTCTCGCAATCTGGAAATGGTAAGTTCCTGAGGTGATTCGAAGTAACTTTTTCCTTAGCGAAAATGCAATCAGCGGCGTAGTTTACGAGTTATTAACGAAAAACAGTGACCAATAAGAGGCGAGCTCGGCTGCCGCGAGGCGGCTCAGCCAACGAAGTCCAGTTCCGCCCATTGGCTCGGCGTCAGCTGATCTCGCCTCTCATTGGTCGCTGTTTTTCGTTAATAACTCGCACACAAAGCGGCGAATCGAATTTTCGCTAAGGAAAATGTTGCTTCAAATGACCTCAGGAACCCTCCACTTCCGGATTACGAGATATTTTCGGGACAACCTGTACAGAGACAAGTAGTGTCAGGTTTAAAATCAGTATAGTCAGACCGTCGTTGCAGTTCGACGTATCTCACCAATTGAGGCTCGTCGGTAGACTGCGAGCTATCTGTGCAGGGTTTCATCGTTGCGCATGTTTTTATTGCAGACGTATTTTAATCAAAATGCGCTGACTTTGATCCGGTCGCTGATCACTGGTGGAGCAACGCCTGAACTAGAATTAATACTGGCTGAAGGTGCAGGTTTAAGAGGTGGTTACAGGTATGTTTGCTATGAAGTGAAGTAATTTTTTAGGAAAAAAGCTTGACATTTCGAACGATTCTTTTCTTTACGAGAACTGTCGCTCTGTATTCGTTTACGAAATATAGTAAATTCTCTCCAATTGTCCCTTAGCTTGTAAACGAAAATGGACAATTTAGGAAGAGTAGATACTAAACTTAACTTACTAAACTAAATTAAGGCATAGTTTCTAAAATTCACTCCGGGCAGCAAAACGGTTCTGACATGCAAGACGCGATAGGGCCCTAGCGGTCCCTTTATTACCTTCTTTAAGAGCAGCATATTGCTAGAGCTGGCTTTTCAATGCGCCACTTTGCCGGCCACTGTTTTTTTATGGCAAGCGAGCTCCATGCCTTCGAACCGGAATGGAGACTGACCAATCATTAAGGTTAGGCCCTGCTACCTGCTTGAAAGCTAACCAAAACGTAACCCAGACCTAACCTATACTTGTAAGTTCAACCTTTTCGTTACGAACGGTGATCATAGTCACTCAATTGTTGACGTCTGTTGGATACTATCGATGAGTCATCGGCGGTGACTATAGTCACCTAATGTCTGACGCTGATTGGGTACTGGTGGTAGGGATTCAACGTAGCGAAAAGGTTGAACACCTTCAAACACCGTTCTGAAAATCAGTTTGCAAACCAAGCATATGCTAGGTCTGGATTGAGTCTCGCCATTTATTTTAAAAATTTGAGTTTATAGAAACAGTAAAAATAAACTGTCGTACTCATACGATGCCACAGTTTTTTACGAATATCTCGTAAACCGAAACCGGGCAACATTTTTGACAAAGGAAAAGGTTGTTTGAAATGGCGAGCTGTATAACGTGGTTAAATTTTATCCAAATCGGAGAGACCGTTTGGTACATAATTATCTGAAAAGTGTCCGCTAATAATCTAATAAGTGTCTGCGCTCCTACAACTGATGGTGTTCGGTGTTTTTTTTTCAGCACGGCTGACAGCCTGGCCAACAGAGATAGGTGTCGAGTTGGCCAGATCGCACTGTACGATGGGCCCCTGGCCCAATATGGCGAAGGAGGCAAGTACGGTGACCTCTTTGTCGCAGCATTAAAGTCGTATGGAATGCTGTGCATTGGTCTGTACAGGTACAGGTACCGGACTTTTTTCCTTCTCTCGATGGTATTTATTGGATTACTGTACACATGATACCGTTACATTTATCTTACGTCTCTGAAAGATGTCTCATCTGGCTGCTGCGATTGTTACACTGCCGTTAATTATCTTTTTACTGTACCATTCTCGTACTTACTATGTGACTTATGATTTTTTGCCGCATACTTTTACATTTTCCGTTTTTGCATCATGAAAACGAAACGTCAACCGTAAGTTGCCTTCATCCAACAAATACCTATCATTTTTTACAATTCTCTGTCTCTCTTTCTCTCTCTCTCTCTCTTTCTCTTCCCTCTCTCTCTCTCTGCTCTCTCTTTCTGCTCTTTCTCTCTCTGCTCTCTCTCTTCCTGCTCTCTCTCTGCTCTCTCTTCCTGCTCTCTCTCTCTCTCTGCTCTCTCTTTCTGCTCTCTCCCTCTCTTTCTTCTATCTCTCTATCTCTTCTCTTCCTCTTCTCTTTCTTCTCTCTCTTCTCTCTCTATCTTCCTGTTTCTCTTTGGTGTCATCTATTTGTTTAGTGCTTAGTTACTGTTTGCCAACGTTTAATTTAGTTTAGTTTAGTTCCGATATTAAAACATGGTGTGTTTAGTTCAAGTCGTACATCTTGCTTGAAACACGTCACGCCCTTCATAGAGTAACAACGTTCGAATTTTTAGGTTTCGGGACACGAGCTCGTCGTGCGATGCCTCGTCCAAGCGATACGTCATCACGAATCCCCCGGATGATTTTACGTTACTACCAACAGACCAGGTAAGTCAAGTTCTCTAACAGATAGCACATAAAATGCATAAAGTCTAGAAAAATATCATTCTTATATCATAACTGAAAAATATGACGTTAACCCAAAATGCGATCCATGTCGTTCGAAAGATCGAAAAATAAAGGGTGTCCCATAATTATGTTAACACCTGAAAATGGGTGATTCCTGAGGTGATTTGAAGTAACTTTTCCCTTAGAGGAAATGAAATCCGTGGCTTCGTTTACGAGTTATTAACGAAAAACACGGACCAATCAGAGGCGAGCTCGGCTGGTGCGATGCGGCCAAATGAGCGGAACTGGGCTAAGGCTGCCCGTTGGGGCTGGGTCGCCTCGCATTAGCTGATCCCGCCTCTCATTGGTCACTGTTTTTCATTAATACCTTGTAAACAAAGCCGTGAATATCATTTTCACTAAGGAAAAAGTTACTTGAAATTACCTCAGGAATTACAACTTTCGGGATGTTAACATAATTATGGGAGACCCTGTATACTTCTAGTGATAAATTTTCAGTTAACTTAAGAATGTTACTTCTTGAAGAAACAGTAGAGCTGCTGCAATATTAGGCTAGATATCATGGGCATCAATAAGGCTAGNTCTTTCTTCTATCTCTCTATCTCTTCTCTTCCTCTTCTCTTTCTTCTCTCTCTTCTCTCTCTATCTTCCTGTTTCTCTTTGGTGTCATCTATTTGTTTAGTGCTTAGTTACTGTTTGCCAACGTTTAATTTAGTTTAGTTTAGTTCCGATATTAAAACATGGTGTGTTTAGTTCAAGTCGTACATCTTGCTTGAAACACGTCACGCCCTTCATAGAGTAACAACGTTCGAATTTTTAGGTTTCGGGACACGAGCTCGTCGTGCGATGCCTCGTCCAAGCGATACGTCATCACGAATCCCCCGGATGATTTTACGTTACTACCAACAGACCAGGTAAGTCAAGTTCTCTAACAGATAGCACATAAAATGCATAAAGTCTAGAAAAATATCATTCTTATATCATAACTGAAAAATATGACGTTAACCCAAAATGCGATCCATGTCGTTCGAAAGATCGAAAAATAAAGGGTGTCCCATAATTATGTTAACACCTGAAAATGGGTGATTCCTGAGGTGATTTGAAGTAACTTTTCCCTTAGAGGAAATGAAATCCGTGGCTTCGTTTACGAGTTATTAACGAAAAACACGGACCAATCAGAGGCGAGCTCGGCTGGTGCGATGCGGCCAAATGAGCGGAACTGGGCTAAGGCTGCCCGTTGGGGCTGGGTCGCCTCGCATTAGCTGATCCCGCCTCTCATTGGTCACTGTTTTTCATTAATACCTTGTAAACAAAGCCGTGAATATCATTTTCACTAAGGAAAAAGTTACTTGAAATTACCTCAGGAATTACAACTTTCGGGATGTTAACATAATTATGGGAGACCCTGTATACTTCTAGTGATAAATTTTCAGTTAACTTAAGAATGTTACTTCTTGAAGAAACAGTAGAGCTGCTGCAATATTAGGCTAGATATCATGGGCATCAATAAGGCTAGATATCAATAAGGCTAGAAATCATGGAAAAATCATTAAATCATTAAAAATCAAGAAAAGTGAACAAACCCCTGTATTATTCAACACAGCTTGTTTTTCTTACGATTTTTAGGGTCTAATATCAAACCTATATTCGTTTTTAGCAGAACGTTATAGCCCTCGAAAGATTTCACAAAATGTGTACTTTGACCCCCGCCTTCTCCTGGATTTTCAAAGTGATACGTCTCTTCGATTTTGATGACACTTAACTATGTTATACAGCACGACATTTCGAACAACTTTTTCTTTCGCGAAAGATGCCGCTCTGCTTTAGTTTGCGAAATAATCTCGAAAAACTGTGGGAACGTATAAGTTCTCACGGTGCGGTATTTTATTTACTGTTTCCATGAACGCGTCAAAGCCGAGCGTTTACTCATTTATATTCAGAACAGTGTTTGAAGTGCCTTCAACATTGTAAGTGTAAGTTAGGGTATGATTTAACTATCATTCTGATGTATGGTAAATTCTCTTCAATTGTCAAGGTTATTTTAGAAGAGGTCGCCTCTTTCCAAATTGTAGTTTTTTGTTTACAAACAGAGGGACAATTGGAGAGAATTTACTATATCGTTAGAACACGTGCAAATCTTTCATTATTTACGAAATATTTAGACGTTGGGTCACTATGGTCGCACTATTCGTACCGAAACAGGTTAAACGTTGTAAGTATAAGTTAAGTCTAGGTTATAAATCTAGGTTAGGTCCAATTTAGGCGTACAGTTTTTCGTTGAAAATATGAATATATATGTATATTGTTCAAAGTATGAAAGACTCTTTTGTAAATAGCAAATAAGATGAAAGAAGGGATTACAATACCACTGTTTCGTCTGCAGGTGTTCGTGTTAATGCAGTTCGACCCAGGTCTCGAGTACAAGCCGAGCAGAGGTGCTAGAGGAAAGGACGACGCCTCCTGACTGTTGCTGTGTAGCGCCCTCACCGATGGACCTTATTCCTACATCTAATCGTACAAAGGAAGCCACCATCATGCCGTCCGTCATCCCTACGGATTCATCAAACCTTCGTTGGCTGGCGTTTTGGTACGACATCGCGTGTCCTCAACGAAATATTATCGCAGACCCCGTCCATAGAGCAAGTCATCGCAACACGTCCGTTGTTTCCGCTGGTCATGCAGCGTTGCCAGCTATGGTTTCCTCGACTATCTCGCAGCCGGATCAGTTTCCCTTTAAATAGTGTGTCCGCAGTAATAATTATTCGGTTCCTTGTTAATTACACATGTACCGCTGCGTGAGATTGATTTACGACAAATTTTCTGCGTTGAGACGTGGTCGTAGCAAAGATGGAGGCGAACATCGTGACGAGCTGATTCGATGAAGAGAAGGGGATGAAGATTAGCAAGAGGAGAGAAAGAAGAGGGCGAAGAAGAGGAGGTGGTGACAGAAGAGGAAGAAGGGAAACGGGAAGCGGCATGGTGAACTTATGGTCCGAGGGTAGCTACACGTTACACTTAACCGAATATCTCAGTAAGATACAAAAAGTGTATCGTCTTCCCTGGAAGGCAATTTATGGACTGAACGGCTTACCGTCAAGAGTAACAAACTGTGTGATTAAAATCCCCCCTCCCCATCCCTTCAGAAGTACAGATATAGCCAAAAAAATAAATAAATAAATAAATAAAATAAAATAAAATAAAACCGAAAGCAGAAGAAGAGAGAGAGAACCGTAACCCTAAAGAACAATGCGAGGCAGGCAGCTTAACAAAAGTTCACACGCTTGAGAACATCTTCAAGGCTGATCGCTGAGGAATTGTAATTCGCCTTCGCGAACTTAACCGTATACCATCGCTGTAGCTCATTCAGGATATGTAAATAGGCATAGAAGAGATGTATCGCTGTTACCACAGTACACTGTATAAAAATGAGGAACGGAGAACAAAGAGAATGCGCGGAGGAGAAGCCGAAGAGACACGGGTCTTTATTGAGATCGACCTCATCGAGACAACTTTTTGTCCTTAAACCATAGTAACATCGTTCACGTTCGCCGGACAGAAGCGTGTGTTCGTCTCTCATATCGTGATTTTGTACCTTGCCTTGTCTGCAACAGTACATGTGCATATATGTACATGTATATGTATACATGCATGTGCAGGGTGGCCCAGGAACACGTTGCTGCAAAACGTATTTCCCTGCTCTCAGCTGGGAACATCATTGGTTGTAGATGATTATAATTTCAAAGTAAAAAATCGTAACGTTCTGTGTTACCAGGTTCGGTTGATGTTAAACAACATTATTTGGCTTCGTTATGATATAGAGCAGTTAACATTATTTTAACGTAGTATAGTTATATTCCGTTAATGTTAATTAAAGAACATTTTATTTTCGTTTATCGATACGAACATAATATATAATATTTGCATAGCGCTTCATTTGCGTTAGTATAACTAGCTATTACTTTATAATTATAATTATTATTTTATTATTTTATTATATTAATTTTTATTTTAAACAAATATTCATGAAACTACTGTTGTATCGTAGTTGTGTAATTGAAACGCTTGCACCGTGCAACTGGCTAGAATTTAATGGGAAATTATTCAATAATATAATCATATTGCTTTATACAACGTTATAAACTGGTTAGTTACGTTTAGTGGCATGTTTCTTTTATATTGTTAGAAAATTGATTGTTATGGAACATTGCTTTTACGAGCGATTGTTATTACAGAAAAGTATAAAAACACTTGGGAAATAAAGGATGGGAAATAAATGGGATTAGGTGAAATTATGTGGTTCTATCTCCAGCTTGAGCGGGTACGTAAGGTATCGTGTTGGAAACAGGGCCGCCCTGTGTAAATAGTAATAGATCCGTTGTAAAACGATGTGCCGAGACCCGCAAAATAATAGAGTGCGTGTGAACAAGAGTGCGGGGGCTTCGTGTAAAACCATTTCCTCGCGTCTCGCGTCGTATGAACAGAGAAAACGAAAAAAAAAAAGAAAAAAACAGAAACCGGAGAGAAAAATCTCAATCAAGCACTTTGTACAGGTTCTATACATACAAACGTATATATATGTATTTATACGGACGCGTGTGTACATATATCTATACATGGGCCGGGCGACATCTATGCATACATATATGCACGCATGAAGACGAAGGGACGATGAAGAAATCGAAAAACGAAAAGAGCGAAAAGAAAAAAAAAATGAAAATCGAGAAAAACACCCTTTTCCACACGGTTTTGACTATAAATCGACTATATATGAATTATAGGTATATATGCACATATGTGTGTATACATAGACACTCTCTCTTTTATATATTTTTGTGAAAACTCACGTATGCGTGTATACGAATGTACATATATATACATACATTCATACACCCACGCAGATATGTATGTATGCATGTGTGTCGGCACGTGTGTGTATACATACATGGATGTGTATATACATAGAGGGATGAATGGAGTAAATATACTTAATTAAGGACACTGAGATACCACTG